AAAATAAAAACATATAAAAAAAAAAACTTTTAAGAAATTCTTCTAGCGCAAAGAGCGTGTTTTTTTAACTTCGTCTGGGAATTTTTGCGAAGAAACTCCTTTGCTCAAAATTAATATTAAACCGTGCAGCTTGTATCATCAATATACGATGAATTCAACGTTAAATCAACAGGTTGTTAAATTTGCCTTATCCCATTACGAACGGGCAAGTATATTTTTCCCAACTATATTTCATTAACGCAGCACGACACAAGAACACGCTGCGACGCGACGTTGCACTTCGTCGCGAAATCGCTCGAAACGAATTTCACCCCATTGTGGTTCGAGTGTCCGAGAGACTAAACTGGTACCTATCGATGTGACAAACAATTTTTCAGCAAAGGAACGCTATGACTGTTAAGTGGCAACATTTCAGGGTTCGGTCATGCGTGCCAGAAGAGTCACTTGAACGCGCTAGGTGTTTTAGCACCGACACATTTTCCATCCCGCATCGCTCTTTCATCTCTTTGCTCGTGACGGAAGTGTTCGCGCGTGAGAATATTTCTTATACTTACGAGCGCTGGTACGCATTGTATTTGCCCGACGCGTATCGTTGCTGTGCGACCACCGTCGTTCTCGAAGAAAGAGACGGTGACAGTTGCAGAAGTCTCCGTCACGTTTCGTACACAAACCGGAAGCTAGTTTGGAACGACCGTGCCTGTGCAACCATAAGGGTTACTTTTCGAATGGAAATAGGCTGAGATAATAAAGTTAAAAATACGAGTGTCTTTTATTTCTTTTTATAATCCCAAGCGTTTGCAGAATTAAAAGAGAGTCATTGTCTAACGAGCTTAGACTCTTTAGCATCTACACGAATATGCAGTAAAGTCTCCCTAATTGACGCTCGGATTGAGCACAAAAATGGACAATTTGGAAAGAAGAGATACTATTGTTCGAGCCTTGCAGTTAGTTTTTATAGTTAGCGATTGTCAACAATTATACAACGAGCCGCAAGGCTCGAACAATCGTATCACCGCTTCCCAAATTGTCCATTTTTGTGCACAATTTGGGTGACAATTAGGGAGACATTACTGTACCGACTAATACACTGACTAAAATGTAGTATAGTATAGTCGGACACGTGCGTAAATGTTACTTCACGTCCCTGGACTATTTTGTAACTTGTTAAATTACGCAACAACCAAACGTCTAAAATTTGACAATATCTTTCCCCTCTGCTACTTGTTACACCATAATATCCGATATTCTGGTACAAGTTATCAACGCCTCCCATTGCAAAATTGTAATCGATTTAAATATTCTTGATTTTAATATCTTTTCTGTTCACTGGAAGGAACGCTGGATTGCGAATAGTGGACGCGAGTCGCCACTGTGCCCGAGAAAATCCCTTCTCCTTTTGGCACTTGACGCTTCCGCCCGGAAAAATCTCCGGATTCTCTGCGAAAGGCTTGAAAGGAATCCGAATATTTTGACGAGTGACCGTGTGATCGGATTTATAAAATGCGAGGAAACGTATTAACCGGTACAGTAAATTCTCCCCAATTTTCCTTTAGCTTGTGAACAAAAATGGAGAATTTGGGGAGAAGAGATACGATTGTTCGAGCCTTGTGACTCATTTTTATAGCTGTAGATTTTCATTAATTATAAAAATGGAGTGCAAGACTCAAAAATAGTGTCTCTCCTTCCATTTTTGTTTATAAACTGAAGGAAAATTAGGGAGAATTTATTAAGGAGAATTACGGAGCATTTTGATTTCGATTTTTCGAGCGACGAAGAAAGCTATCTGCCTCGAAATTTCGACGTTCATAAAATTCGATATAAAATTGGAAAGTTACGTAAAAAAATTCGCAGATATGTTCGCGGGAACTTCGGTTCGCAACGAATCCGTAGAACGAAGTCGCTTCGCAACCGAAGCCTATTTAAGCCTTTCCCTCTGGCTTGAAGTGTTCGACTAAACGCATTCAATTACGATTATTCGAGCCTTGTGACTCATTTTTATAGTTATAGACTGTCATTAATTATAAAAATGGAGTGAAAGGCTCAAAAATAGTGTCTCTTCTTCCATTTTTGTTTATAAGCTGAAGGAAAATTAGGGAGAATTTATCAGGGAGAATTACGCAGCATTTTGATTTCGATTTTTCGAGCGACGAAGAAAGCTATCTGCCTCGAAATTTCGACGTTCATAAAATTCGATATAAAATTGGAAAGTTACGTAAAAAAATTCGCAGATATGTTCGCGGGAACTTCGGTTCGCAACGAATACGTAAAACGAAGTCGCTTCGCAACCGAAGTCTATTTAAGCCTTTCTCTCTGTCTTGAAGTGTTCGACTAAACGCATTCAATTACACCGCGTAAAGTCCCAATAAATAAATATCTTGACACAATGGCCGGGTGTACGTACTCGATTGTCCCGCGGGAACGATCTGCCCCGACGGAATCGCTGATCCAGGATCATCGCTAGAAATAACAGAACGTATTTTTCGCGGTTACACGACATTCGTTTAACAAAGAGCTCGATGCAGACTTCGCCGGCCGATTTCCATTGGCTGTTACCCGAATGCTTTCTCACCGGTCAGCCAGCATGATTATTTACCCCGCCTTAGGTGATTACACCTTGGTCTGCTGCGGCCGGGAGACCTCTAAATAAACTGACAGCCCGGGAAAACGCCGACACGGGCAGCCTTTATACTGCGATTACCACTCAAATCACCGTGAAATTCCCGTGAAACGCGTTTCATTGTGCCGCGGAACTGCAGGTAAAATTTAGATGTTCCTGTTACCCGAGAAACTTTCCCCGCCGCGCGCCGCAACGGAGCCGAAACGTTCCGAAATTTTCTTCGTGAATGGACTCCGATACTCGTTGCTTCTTTCTTTCTCCTTTTTTTCTGGACCGACGTCCACGGCGTTCCGTTCACCTTCGTGAGTTCTTCGAAAAGTATCTCGGTTTCTTCGCGCATAGTTTCAACGCGACCTCGAATCGATTCGTGAGGAAGAAAAGATTGAAGCCTTAATAAGCGACACAAATTTATGGTATTTTGGTATTACTGTTTATTATTATTTATTATTCGATATTACATATCATTATTTAGTGTTCTTTATTATTTTTTTCATTATATTTTTTTATATATTATTATTTATTAGTATTTATTGTTATTTGTTATTATTCATTTTATATATATATTTATATTATATATTATATATATTTATATATAGACTATTATATATATAATAGTCTAGTCAGTCTTATATATATTATATTTCATTTCTATCAAGAAATGACGTCATAAGAAATCTGTGGTCCATTCGAAGCAAATTTCTCCATCCTCTTAATTTCTATGAATCATAATTCGAAATAATAATTTGAAAAGATCATAATCTGAAACAGCGGAAGGATTTAATGTCGATATAATAATTTATTAATAAATCTAAATCTAAATCAATAAATTGCATGATGCTCCCAACTTATAAGAATTATTATCGAGAAGACTCTATTCGAGACTTCCAAATTATACTTCTGTTTCGTGAAACTGATGCGAACAATTTTTATCTTCGCGCTTACAAGCACGCGCACACACACGCGCACACGCTCACTTCACAAAACGAAACAAAAGCAACGAGAAACGCGTCGATCTCTGAACTCGAAAATGCCATATCGTTTCGATACAGATCGACGAACGCGTTTCCGCAAGAAAGGGTTGGGGAAATGTCGACAAATTCATGTTTTCATGTTTTCACGGTTCGTAACATTTTATTTACATACCTTTAAAATTATTTGTACAATTGGACGCGTGCCTCCCGCCGTGTAACATCGTTTCCGTATAGTCAAACTAAACGTCGTGGAACCGTATTTTACATTTTTGTACACGCGACAGATCTCTTTTTGTTATATTTATTTCGTTGATCGGTTCCCCATGGTCACCGTAAACTTTTCTCATCAGACATACAAATTACATCTACGTCGATCGTCGTCGCGCCGCCAGAATTTCACGTCTTATATTGCCACGGATGCGATTAAAATAAAGTATCCTCGGTACACCGATCTGCACCTTTCGTTTCAAATATTATACAACGATCTTTCTACGGAGGACAACGACGGGAAATTCTTCAAATATCTCGCAGGTGACGCGACGACGGGCTATTCAATTATTGCGATTCCTCGTACTTCGTACGAACCTTTGTCTCGTTACAATATTATACATTTATCATACAAAATTAATGGACGTACGCGAACTCTCCTCTCAGTCGATCAATTGCTTCGATATAATCTATCAATCTCTCGTGATATGTTTCCATCACAGTTATAAAGTCTTGCTATTCTTATTACAGTAATTTCTCCCCGATTCGCGTTCAAATTGTGCACAGAAGTGGACAATTTGGGAAGAAGGGATACGATTTGTTATACTCGTTGACGATCGAATAACTATCGAAAGAAGGAGCAGAAATTAGGGAAGAAATCACTGTACTCGTGCAACCGAGAATTAGAATCCGGAATCGATTGTCCTAGTTGCCTGGAACAAGCCTCGCGTTATGCTAAATTCAGCTCGGATCGATCGAACTGTAAATACCTTCTCCCGATTAATTTCGTCCACTACGCGATTTCAAACTTGAAACTTGAAACTTACACGTACCTATCACGTTTGCACGTACAATTAAATAATAATATGCTAATATCCCGAGACGCGACGCTTCGAGAGTCCAATTTCCGGTTAAACCAGTCCCGTTTCGAAGGACCGACGCAGCCTAGACGGTCCCAAAAGTCGCTCGAGATAAGGAAATAGAGAGGTTCCCGAGGTCGTTTGAAGCAACTTTCTCCTTAGCGAAAATGCGATCCGAGGCTCCGTTTACGAGACATCGACGAAAAACGTAGACCAATGAGCGGCGAGCTCGACCGGCGCGCAAGCAGGCCCAGCTCCGGCGATTGGCTTGGCCGCCGCCTGGCAGTCGATCTCGCCTCTCATTGGTCGCCGTTTTTCGTTAATAACTCGTAAACGAAGCCGCGGATCGCGTTGTCGCTAAGGAAAAAGTTGCTTGAAATCTCCTCAAGAATCATCTCTCCGCATCTCCGTAAACTGCGACTTGCACAACCGCAACTGAACTTAGTTTAACTTCCCTAAAGATTCCACGCGAATGTCAGACCGCGCGCGTTCCATTGCGATTTTGAATCGCGAATCGAGTGTCGATTATAAAATTGAAAGACTCTCCGGAAACTTCGTTTGATTCTGCCCGATTCTAATCGCGGACACGCGAGTCTTCAACCACGAGGACGCGTCGAAGCAACCGAATAGCATCGAGCACGTGCTCGACGTGTTCTCGGTTCAGCCAGCTTTGTACATGTCGCAGATGATCCTCTCGATGGGTATGCCGCCGATGGTCCTCCTGAAAAAGAGCTCCTCGATGGCATGGGCGGACACCGAGCGAAGCGACGGCAGCAGCAGCAACAGCTTGCCGAACCTGAGCGCACCGAAGGAGGCCCCGCTTAGTCTCTGGCCCAGGGCTAGCTGGGCCCCGTCCCGCAGCCTGGCCACGGCAGCCGCGTCCCTGAGCCTGCTGCCGCTGCCGGCACTCGGCGACGTCGATCCGTTGCTGCTTCTGCTGCTTGGTAAAGGCTCGCAGTCCAAGCCAGCCTTGAATAACACGATCGCCCGGATGCAGGCGAACTCGTGCTGGTCGAGGTTCATCCCGTGGAAACCGGCCAGCGTCTCCCTGAAGCGGTTCACCTCGACGGCCAGGCTCAGACCCTGCGGCCCCGGCGGAAGCAACGCGCTCGGGTCCAGCGTCGGCAGAATTTGCGCGGCTGCGAGCAGGAACAGCTCGCGCCAGGAGGACTCCAACAGCGTGAGCTGGTCCTCCATGGCCAGGTTCGTGCCGGCAGCCAGGTCTCGGGCCCAATGGACGTTCAGAAAGAGCAGCCTGGCCGCCTGCTCGCAGATGGACTCCGCGGTTATCGCCGGGATCAACGGCACGGGCGGTAGACCGGGCATGTTCACCGGAATCTGGAAGATCATGGGACGTTTTATAGATCGATCCTTGGTCTTTGAAATCTGATTATGCCGTGCGGAAACGTTTCTCGATTGAGCCGTTTATTTTGATAGTGGCATAAGTCACTTTATCGTAATGAAAAGTGGTGATTTTTTCAT